CCCCCGCCGCCCCACATGGAAAAGTGAAGGTGGGGAAAGTACAGCTGAACCTTGCTGCTCTCTTGCTTTCCTCAGTGTCAACTCACCGTACATAAAAGGAATGCTCATGAGTTCCTGCGACCCCCTTACTGGGCAACTTTTCCAAAAGAATGGACTTGGGGGTTAAGCGGGATTTATTCACAATGTATCAGTTCTGCTCAAGTCCACCTGGTATTTGTCCCTTCTGCCTGGTGAGATTCTTTGCAGCACGCCCTGCTGTGTTTTGGGTGAGGAAACAAGGATGACCCAGGGGTAGAGAGAGGCATCCTCCCATCAGCTCCGAGGGAGCCCATGTATGCCTGACAGTGGCTGGATCCTTCTCATATGTTATTTCGTTTAAGTGAAGGCCAAAAAAGTGAGGCTTTACTTTAGGAAAGAAAGGGGTTGGCGGGAGTAGGAGCGCCGCTGGGTGCACATGTGTGTGGTGGAATGACTTGAGAAAGCAGACCCTTATCAAATAAAGCACATCTGTCTGCACCCTATTCTGGTACAAAATGGAACCTTCTGTTTCCCTAATTTTCCCCATTCCTTTTTGTAGCTTCCCTGAAGGCTCATGCTACCTGGGAAGCTGTCCTCCCTTCCTTCCCCTGGGCCCAGAGTAGCTCCTGGTGAGTCCTCTCACTCTCTCACCTACGACTTCCGAAAGACTCCTTTCTTCTTTGAAGCTGCTGCAAAGTCCATCACCAGAGGGCAGTAGAGCATCTTGGAGGAGGGTTGGCACCTCACCCAGCCTCTGCCCAGGGGACCCGGGAGGCATCTTGCTGGTAGTTGGGCTACTGTAGAACAGAGAGCACATGGTATGGTACTGCTGTCTTCTTGTAGGTGGAAGACACAAGGTCTTTCTAGTAGCTCCACGGCTGCTGGTTTATTAGCCTTTTATCCTTGAGATGGTTTGAGTTTCAGCTCTGAATTGCTTATCCATTCTGACACTCCGAGCTGTCTTTTCCTTGCTGAGGTTAGTACCAATAGTCTCCGCACTTACCAGGCTTATTGCAGGACCCACATGCTGCCCCGCGAAGGGTGTTCACACTCGTGGTGTTCAATGATGCTCCAGCCAGAAGAGGCAGACGATTGATTGCCAAGAGACAGTTAATACACCTGAGAACATGTCTGATCCCACGCCACGACTATAGGCTAGAACTGTCAGACTGCATAACGTCTGGTGTTTTATGTTCAGCTGCAGGCACATTATTTTAAAAGGCAATTCCGAGAGGGCTGATTCAACTCTGAAAAGCAGGTTTGTGAAAGAATGGTAGAAGAATTGAGACATATGCAGCTTGGAAAAGAGAAAACATAAACGGCATATTAGTTGTTTTCACACACTGAAGAGCTGTCAAGTGGAAAAGGGATCAGAGAGTAGCTCCAGCAGGCGGAAGTTATAGGGAGGCATATTTCGGCTTACAGTAAGAAAGAACATTCTGTTGATTAGAGTCATTAAAAAAAGATCGAATGGATTGCCTTAAACACCCAGCCCATTTCTCTGAGAAATGCTGTAAAGGAGCACTCCCAGTGGCTGGAAGGTGGCTCTGGGCTGTAGCTTCAGAGGTCCTTCCTGTTCCAGGACGCCGTGTCAGAGGGTTGGGGCTACATTTTAGGAGGACTTCTCAGGGATGAGTCTCTCAAAGTGGGAACCTCTAAGAAGCCTCTTGGGCCATCTTACCATGCCAGGTGCTCACTCTCACAGTCTGACTCCCTTAGAGCAGATCCGTGACTCTGGTTATGGTTTAGCACTGACTCAAATGTCAGCCTGATGGCTGAATCATGACTGTAACTTCTCGCCATCATTTGGGTTTTTCTTGGACTGTTTCTATTCCACAACTGGCCAGAAGCCAACCACTGGTTGATGGAGAAAAACAGACTCACCCACTATGGTCTAGTTGCAAACTTCACCGTGTTGAGCCTTGAGAATCAGGAAGTGGGGCTAAGTGGGAGATTGCCCTAGACCTATTAATTGCTTAAAGATGGCTTCCATCTCCACCTGCCGAGACAGGATTGCGGGATGTCTGGTACTGACCACGGAGCCTCAGGAGAGGAAGTCGTGGAGAACAGAAGATTCTGCCTGTTTTATCTCTGAGATCATGACTGAGACCACTCCCTCCATATCTGAGTCCATATGAGTATAATTTATTATTTCATGTAATGGCTTTACTGAGATATAATTCACATACCACACAGTTCACCATTTTAAAGTGTGTGATTCAGGGGCTTTTAGTATAGTCACAAGGTTGTGCAACTGTAACCACAGTCAAATTCCAGAACATTTCCGTCACCACCTGGAGAAACTGCATGCCCATTACCTGTCACTGTCCACCCCTGTCCCCAGCCCTAGCACTCGCTAATCTTTCTGTCTCTGTGGGATTGCCTGTCCTGGATGTTTCATATAAATGGGATCATACAATACGTGGGCTTCCGCGACTGGCTTCTCTCAGTTAGCACAATGATTTAAAGGTTCATCCACGTTGTAGAATGTATCAGCACTTTATTCCTTTTCTGGCTGAGTAATATTCCATTGTATGGATAATACCACATTTTGTTTATCCGTTCATCCATTGATGGACAATTGAGTTGTTTCTACTTTTTGGCTCTTACAAATAATGCTGCAGTGAGCAATCATGTATGAGTTTTTGTGTGGACATGTGTTTTCATTTCTCTTGGGTATGTTCTTAGGAATTGCTGGGTCATATGGTGACTCTCTGTTTAGCCTTTTGAGGAGCTGCGAGACTGTTTCCCAAAGCAGCTGCACCATTTAACCTTCGTCTATATCCTTACCATCTTGTTATTAGCTGTCTTTTTGATCACACCCATCCTAGTGGATATAAACAGTAGTATCTTACTGTTGTTTTAATTTGCGTTTTCCTGGCAGCTGAGTATTTTTTTCTTTTCTGTAAACATTTTTATTTTTTAAACATTTTAAAAACTCATCATATGAGTTTTTAAGTGGTTCACTATAGCGATAAAGAGAAACACAGTTGGGATTTTCTACTGAAAAATGATCTGGACATTTTTGAGTTAGTGCTCTTGAGTTAGGGGCAGTGTGGAGCCTATGAAAGAGAGAGGGAGAAAGCTTGGACTCTTCTGGACGTGGTAATTCTAGTTCACTTTCTGTTGCTGGTCTCCGCCACTCTCTAGCTAGATAATAGCTGCAATAAAAAAGACAGGTGTGCAGCCCACAGAGCGGTGAGAAGTTGCATCCGTGAAGGAGGAATTTTTGCTAGACAAAGAGTCTTGATGCTGATCCCATGGTTGCTTCTCAGTCTTGTTCTGCTAGTCCCACATGTTCCGGAAGTTTCTGAGAGCCCATTACCCCCCCATCTAGGTTTCCCTCCTAGGAATCCAGGGGTCATATAAACTTCTGTGTGGTGGATATTAGTGTGGGCCAGGGCTGCAGGGATTCCGTTTATTCCATGTGGCATCATGGGGCAGAGCTAGGGCAAAAGACAGAAGTCAATGATGAAGAGAATTGTCTAACAGTCCAGCTGCAGGAAGGAAAGGCCTCCTCCTGACACTGTCCCCGCCCCCGCCCCCCCAGGCGTGTCACACCACAGGCTGTGGCATGGGGGTCAGGAGGGGGCAGAGAGGAGGAAAGGGCCTCCAGGGGAGGAGAGTCCCTCCCGCGACCTCTCTTGTCCCCTCTTGCAGGTAGCCGAGAGACCGCCTTCACCTATGCGGTGAGCGCCGCAGGCGTGGTCAATGCCATCAGCCGGGCTTGCCGCGAGGGTGAGCTTTCCACGTGTGGCTGCAGCCGGACAGCGCGGCCCAAGGACCTCCCCCGGGACTGGCTGTGGGGTGGCTGTGGGGACAATGTGGAGTACGGCTACCGCTTTGCTAAGGAGTTTGTGGATGCCCGGGAGCGGGAGAAGAACTTTGCCAAGGGATCGGAGGAGCAGGGCCGAGTGCTCATGAACCTGCAGAACAACGAGGCGGGTCGAAGGGTAAGATGGGCGTCCCCTCACTCCCTCACACCACGGGCCAGTAGTGGCCTGGCAGTCCAGGAAGCGGGCTGGTCTGACCGTGGCGAGTCCCACCCATAATCGCTGACCTAGATGCCCACATGACCGGACGCCCTTTCAAAATGCCCCATTTCCCAATAGGCACTTGTGATTGTCGTTTTTTGTAGACCTTATTTACAGGGTTCCCAATAGGCACTTGTGATTGTCGTTTTTTGTAGACCTTATTTACAGGGCATCTGTTCCTATAGGACTTAGGTGCAATGTTTGGATCAGAATTCCAGACACAGAGGGTAGAGGTCTTGCCGTGACCACCCTCCTCTGTAACTTGAACAGATAAGACGATTGGAAGTTTAAGCCATTAGACCTAATGCGTCCTCGTTAAAGGCTCAGGTAAAACCAGAGCTGACTTTTAAGAGCTGCTATCATACACATCCAGAAACCCAGTCAAAAAGCACGTTCAAGTACTAAGGCAAACACACCCCTGTGCTAGGAGTCTGTAAACATAAGAGGCGGCGTGAAAACACAAGCATCTTTTAAAGGCTTAAGCAATCTCATGTGAAATGTGACTGTCTTCTACACCTCAATTTCGGTAGAAACTAAAACCCAAGTTTTAAGGTGAGCTTGGTCTATTGTATGTTCAGAGCACATCTGGGTGACAGTGGGGGTCTCCCTGTGTCGTGTGCTGGAGAGCGTGTCCCCTGTCGCCTGCACCTGGTGCATGAAGAATCCTTCTGCTCACATGTTTGGCCTCCTGTTTTCTTTGCTGTCCCCACCCTGCTCTGCCTGTGCCATGGTAACCCAGAGGGCCTGCTCCGCTCTGCCCTTTGCTGGTTCAGCGTGGCCAGTGTGGACAGGGCCCAGGGCAGAGCGGGTGTGCACCCGGGTTCCCTTTGGAGAGTTCTGAGGTCTGAGTGCTGGGTGGTGAGAGGTGTCTCCTGGCAAAGGACCCCTCAGGAAACAACACACACTTCTTTGCTGAAGTGTTGTCCCACTCAGGTCTGTGTCAAGCCAGCTGGCTCTGGGTCCCAGGTGAGGTATTATAGTGAGACCAAAGATGAACTAATTAAAAACGGAGAATGGCAATTTCTGGAGAAGAAATAAGGTCAGAAGTTTAATGTTAGATCACTGGTGATGTCTTTATATATCAAAATTTTAAAGCATTAACTCACATTTTATAGGACCTTATATCAAATAAATGGAATTGGAAATGCGTGTGAATCAGGATCTGGTAACATTGGCTTGATAGGATTTGGGACACACCTGGGTGAACGTAGCGTCATCAGGTAGAAATTAGAACTGGTTGTTTGCCAGTGTCTTCCCTACACGGCCCATATCCAGAGGCTAGTTTTGCTGTTAGAGATGGGTGTGTGTGGGTAGTTTCAGTCTGTGCTGATGCTCGGAGTTCTGGTCGTTGCTGTGATCTGCGGTTATTACGGTATAAACCAGGGCAGAGGTCAGAGCCGCTGTAGATGACTTCCACTCTGGGGGTGCCTGTGGCTGCCCCGGTCTCTCCAGCCTTCATCTCTGTGTGGTCTTTGGCAAGCTTTTGGGCATCGAACCCTGAAGAGTAGAGAGAGATCAGTTAAGACTTAAAACTTTCACTTTATCTCCCGGATGTCCAAATTCTACCCATTTTTCAAGATCCTAGTTCAAGTGTGTCCCACTCCTTAAAGTCTTTCTCATTCCTCATACTTACTGTCCATCTTGCAACTGAACTTCAGCAGAGCATTTTCTAGTTTTCTTGAGATGTTTCTTATCCTACCCTTATCTCACTGGCTGCGGGTTCCTGAGGACAGGGACGGCCGCCTGCCTCTTTGCAGCCGCCCTTGCTGTGTGGCCACGTGAACGTACAGCCAAGTTCCCGTCTTGCCCCCAGTAAGAGGCCAAACTCATGGAGGCCGTTTGCTGTCTCTGCTCTGAGCTGTCCTTATGGCAGGGGTTGAGGTGACCAGGCATGCATCCGAATCTGCAGCCCTGGAGGGGGATGGGAGACACCAGCTGTCCCCTTTCCTCCACAGTCTGGAGCCCACCCGAGCTTGTTTGTGGTGTGGGGCCTCATCCCTGCAGCACCTCGCTCCTCGCTGCACCCTTCCCTCTTCCTCCGCCTGTGCCCCGGCTCCGGAGCCCCCCTTCCTCCATCTCCACACCTCTTCCGTGGTCCTTTATCTCTCTCTTTGCCTCTGTCTGCTCCAGGTTGGGAATTCTTGTCCCTGTCTATTTTTTATCCCCTCTCCAAGGAACAGGCCTCGGCCATCAATCACCATCTGGGGCCAAAGATATTCAGTCTCACCTCCTCACACCTACACAAAAGTTCTCCCAGGAGGGACTGAATGGTGCAGGAATTGCAAATGCCCTGGATGAGTGTTTTATGACCAGATTTAAAAAAAAAAAAAAACAGATTATCTAAGATCTAACATCTTGACCACAGAGTAAATCTTGGGCATAGTTTGCCAGAAATTTCAGTTGGCCTTTCAGAGTCTCCAGCTCTGTGTTAGACACCGAGGGCAAGACCAGTGGGTCAATATTGCTTTGTCACTCAAGGGTTTTAAGCATTTTCCAGATAAAAGCCTTGTGCCTAATCCTTGTGACATTCCTGTCAGTTACCAAGCTTGTCACACCATTACATACAAGTGGAAGAGGAACTTAGAGAGGGCTTTGCCGGGGCAAGATATAGAACTAAAGTATTTTTTAAAAGCATTTTATTGCTTTTTGAGTTAGCAGGAAGAGTCAAAAGTTGGGAATTTTCCCCTCCCCTAAAAAATGAGCATTTATATAACTTCCAAACATATAATCAATATATATATAACGTCAATAGTAAAATATGAAAAAATACAAATATTCCTGTCTTGACAGTCTTCATAGGAGAGGAAGGATGGAATGACGGTCTGAGTACGGAGGGCAGCATGACACTCTTGCGCTCAGACTTGTTTTGCTAAAATTGCTGTCTGTGCCCCATGGAGTCTCGCTTTGGCTTCTCCTTCCCTAAATCTCCCTGAGTGTTTACTCCCGCTACAGATGCTTATCCTGTTCCCTTAGCTGCTTAGAAGCAAGGTACACAGTTTTAGACCCTTAATGCTTCCCCCTTTCAGCAGCGCCAGATGCCTGCTATCCCTCTCTAAACCAAGGACCATTTCCAGAGGAATGTCAGGCTGCAGCCCAGACCCGGGGGATTTGGGCCAGAAGGATAATTGGAGGCCCTGTCTTTGAAGTCCTGTTGGAATGGGGTGTCAGTTCCTTTATGCCTTGGGCCTGGGGCTGCCAGGCTGAGTGCTGGTGCCTTTAACCTTGGGGAGCAGCCTTCCTTCCTTCTCTATCCTAAGCCACCTTTAAGCCCCAAGATAGGAGTGCAGAAGTGATAGTCATTCTGACCACCTTCTGGGTGGCCCTGAACAGGTTGCTGAGCCTCTCTAGAGCTTCAATTTCTCCCCCATAAACTAGTGGGAATAATTCCATACCAGGAAAAAAGCAGGAAGAGTTTTGACAGTGGTACATGAGCTGATGATGGTTATACTATTTCTTGCACCTGCAGTAGGCTCTTCTTAACACTGAATAAAAACACAATCTGGGGACTCTTGAAATCTAAGAAAACCCTTGAGAGCTGCATCCTGACTCATTGGTGACAATAGCCATGGCATAAGAAAATGCTCCGCAGCAGGCCTGCATTTGTACCCTGCCATCTGCACTCCGGGGCCTGCTGCCAGGGCTGTCTGACTCAATGCATCAGTAAGCTTTCATTGAAAAGCACTTTGTAAGCAGCTCTCTGGTTTACTCTTGCTTTTAAATTTTGATTTGGGACAACCCAAGTTCAAGTCCACTCCACAGGGTTGTGGTTCAGTGACTCCTCACCCTTCCGTTGCCCACTGACCGCCGCTCCCGGGGGAGTGCCTGGGGGTGCTGGAGTGGAAGGAAGTGGTCTTGCTTACAAAGATGATGGTTTATGGTGAGGCGCCTGCTGACTCTATGGGGTTAGTGACCAAATGGCAACACAGGAAAAGGGACCATTTAATTCTTACAGGATTTGACAGGGGTGATAGAGCTTTCAGCTAACCAGGGCCATGCCAGCGGTTTCTATTATAGTCATCTGATACAACTGGATTCTTTCTTCTGACTTGTGCCCCGTATTACATAAAAGCTAGACACATTTTGTTGCTTTTTATTTATGTTTGAGACTTTGATCAAGGTGGGTTTTTTTTTTCTGATTGTAAGAATGACACATTTATGGTAACAAATTTCAAGGAATATGAATCGGATAAAGTAGGAAATGAAAGTGCCCCGTGCCTTCCTTGTAGCCGATGGGAACACGTTGCGTGGCCTCCCCAGCGTCCTTTCATGTGGTGCTCCTTTTATCTGCTCACGGTCCAAGCTCCTGAGGATCCTGGAGAGAGCTTTGCATACATTTGCAAAACTATCTGTCACCCCTCCGTTAGCCCTCTTCTAGCCCCTCTTCTACGCTCAGCCTGTAAGCGACCCCAGCCACCCTCCCAACCTCTCCCACCAGGGATCCCCTTCTTACCCCTTCTCTCTCCTCCCTCAGGCTGTGTACAAGACGGCAGACGTCGCCTGCAAATGCCACGGTGTCTCAGGGTCCTGCAGCCTCAAGACCTGCTGGCTCCAGCTGGCTGAGTTCCGCAGGGTGGGGGACCAGCTGAAGGAAAAGTACGACAGTGCGGCCGCCATGCGCATCACCCGCAAGGGCAAGCTGGAGCTGGTCAACAGCCGCTTCAACCAGCCCACCCCGGAGGACCTGGTCTATGTGGACCCCAGCCCCGACTACTGCCTGCGCAACGAGACCACCGGCTCGCTGGGAACCCAGGGCCGCCTCTGCAACAAGACCTCGGAGGGTATGGACGGCTGCGAGCTCATGTGCTGTGGCCGCGGCTACGACCCGTTCAAGAGCGTCCAGGTGGAGCGCTGCCACTGCAAGTTCCACTGGTGCTGCTTCGTCAAGTGCAGGAAGTGCACCGAGGTCGTCGACCAGTATGTCTGCAAGTGAGTGGCCCCGGCTGCCTGCCTGGCCCTGCGGAGGTCTGCCTTATGTAAATCTATGTGAATCTATTTTATATTTGTATAAATAAGTGGATGAATGACACATAATTAAAAGGCCAACATGGAAAAGAAAAGCTTATTTAAGAGGTGCTGGAGACCTCTGAGGATTGACCTTTGCTGGTTCTCTCCTCCCACGGAGGGGAGAAAAGGCGTTTTGCTCTGCCTCTGGTGAGGATGCCGGGACATAGGGACTTGGAGATGTGTACTGTCTCTCCACCATGGCCTGAGCAGGGAGGCTGCGGGCAGATGGAGGAGCTGATTCTGTCTGGAAGTCTGGAATCTCTGTGGGGAAGATGACTGCCCTGTGACCCCAGCCACTAGGTCATGAGGCCCGTGGAAGGTGGCGGAAACTCAGCGTAAGCCTCCACATCTCTGGGGTCTTGCCCAGCATGTGGACTGGCCCTGTAAGAGGCCCAGCTTCCTCACTCTTCCCCTCGTGCGCTGTGCGGAATCCACGGTGACAGGAGTGGCTCCTCCCCCAAATGAGGACAGGTCCAATGTCATCTCTGACGCCATGACCACAAAGGGCTCTGCACCTCCCCCAGGCCTATCTTTCCAGCAAGAATTCCTCCTTCTCCACAGTTCCCTGCACGAAGAGGAAACGGGGGGAGGGGGTGACCTGCCACATCAAGAAGGACGGGAACTGGCCGTGTGCCCACGTTGCACCCAACCGTGCCAGCCTGCACGGGTCTCCCGCTCGGCGGCCGCCACCTCTGCCAGCAGCCCTGCCCAGACCTACAGCTCCTCTCTGGCATTAAATACCCTTCACTGAGCTTTCTCTCCCTGTCCTTATTTGGACGCACGATTATCTTTCATGAGCCTATTTTGATCTGATCTTTAGAACCCTGTACATGGTATGGAAAAGGGTAAGGAAACTGAGACTTTTTAGAGCTCTGGTCTGGTGATTAGTCCAGGAGAATGTTATGAGAGGTAAATGAGGTCATGGATTTAAGCACTCACCCCAAGGGCTAGCACAGAGTTAAACAATAAATGGTAGCCTTTAAAATTACTATTATGAACAAAAGAATTCAGAGATTTAAGTTTAAATCTCCCATTTTCTTCCCCCTTTCCATGCTCCCTGCATTTTACAGCCCACCTAGTTAACCCCGGTCTGTTTGCTGGGTCCTCGGTGTGGCACAGGAGATGGGGGTGCTCTCTGCAGTTCCTCTCTGTTGTCACCTGCAGTTTTGGATGGACAGCGTCTGGGGCCAGGAGGGAGAATGAGGCAGGACTGAGGGTCCCAGGAAGGGAGATGTTATTTTTCTCAAAGGGAAGAGTTATTAAGGGAACACTGAGCCAGGCTGCACTGGAGTGACCAGATGAGGTGAGCAGGAAGCTACGTAAAGACACGAGTTTATTTTAGAAGGCTTTATTTCTGGGGAAATAATGGAATTAAAAAATTAACTTGGGTCATAATGGGCAAACGATGTTGCAAAACTGTGTAAAAGAGATTCTGCCTGAGGGCACCCGTGGCCATACGTACTGCTTGTACCTTTAGTACCTAAAGAGGAACTTTCTGACTTGACAACGAAGCACCTCAGACCTAGGGTCACTTTACCAGCAACTCACATTTTCAAGGTAATGGCCCATGAAAGAAAATGACGGAAGTCAACTAGTCTACAAGAGATCAAAACCATGCCCTTGGCTTCCTTAGATGCCATTTAACCATCTTAGCCATATTCAACCATGATAAACCGGTTGCACAGATCAACCATGATCATAGCATTGGCCAGCTGCATCACTGTTCTAGAGGTCTGCAGAGTTACTTTATATCAGGTGCTCTAAGTACTTGAGAGCTAAAATCCAATTCATCCTTAGAAACCCTGGGAAATTTGTTGAGAGTGACTTGTCCACAGTCCTTAAAAGTCACTTTCATCTTCACGAAAGGAGATGGATAAGCCGTATTTCATGGAGATACTCCTGCTGAGTCATGGCAAGTGAGTGGAGTAAGTCAGGTTTTCTTTCTGACGTGAGAGCAAGTCATATGTTCAAATGCCAGCGTGATTGTTGCGTCCACTGACCAGTTTTCAAAATGGGTTGGAATGAGGTCATAGTTATTGTCACATTCTTGTTGAATCCTGGTCAACTGGCAGCTGTCTGGGAAGTGACCAGTAATGCTGTAGGAATGTGGAAATGAACCAGAAAAAAAAAAACAAAAAACTTCCACCTGGAGCAGGAAGGGAACTTGGTAATCCGAGCTCAAGCACCTGTTTCCAGATAAGGAGCTCCAAATCTGGAGCCAGTCCCAAACCTTAGTGTGCTTGTAAACATGCAGGGTCCTAGATATCCAACACCAGAAATTTGTATTCAGTTGGCCTGGGGCAGAGCCTGGGACTACTGCACCTTGAACAAGGACCTGAGAGGATTCTAGCTGGTGGTCAGAAGACTACACTGGACTAGAGACATTAAGATCCACAGGGAGACAGAAAGCCTGGTCCTGATTCCTGACCCAGTGCTCTTGGCGGTCCTGTGCAGGATTCCCTAGGACCTGAAATGTCTTATAACCAACATGTAATCTAACCAAAAGATCATTGTGTTGGGTATAAGGCCTAGACCAAGCAGACCTAACCATCCCAGGGAAACTCTTTGACGAGAGAGAAGGAACATTCTGAAACATAGCAGAACTGATCTGCACAGGGATGTTCCACCCCCCTCTGCCTGGGACTGGCGGGGAAAGCCTGCTGATCTAATTCCTATGTGAACATAATAAGGCAACATTTGCTTAGCTATTTGTCCTCTAGATAACATTAGGAGAAAGGTCCCCCTGACTGCGTCCGTTTAAAAGACAGGCAGGTAGGAAGGCAGAACAACCAGGGTTAAGGTTAGGGCAGCCCTCCGTTCAGAAAAGCATCCTGAACAACGTCTCTCAAGGACTTGGATTCAAAGGTCTCGTTTGGAGAGCTCATTTAGTTCTCTCCCACTCTCCATTCGTGGAGGTGAGAAACAAAACTTGCTACTTGTGTTAAACCCCTAATTGGTTATTGCCTTTGAAATTCTGCCCTGCCTCCTCTCTTTCATCATTATATCTTAAGCTTTGTCAGCCCCTGCAGTTTGGGGAGCTAAGCATGACATCTTGCGGTACAGATCGCTCCACAAGATAGAGGTCTCACAGCTGCTGTAGTTTATCAAGAAAAAAGCCTATTTTGGGGGCAGAGAGCCACACCATACCAAGAGGGTGGGAAAAAATAGTGGTTTCCATCTTAAAACAGACACATTGCCAGACACCACTGACACTGGGCACATGCATTTTGGGAGAACCTCAGAGTGTGTGTGTGTGTTGTGTGTCTGCGTGTATGTTGTGCGTGTGGTGTGTGTGTGCGTGTACCTGCTCACACACTTATGCACACCCATGCACACAGGGATGAATGTTTTTCATTAATTTGGGGGGGAGGTAGAGAGGCACTAGAGGCATGGAATATGTGAAAAATTAAAAATAACTCACCACTTCTGGCTGAGATTTTGCAGAACATGGGCTGTCTATCTTTACTGGAAATGCTCGTCCTCTGGGTGGCAGGTGATGACAAGCTTCATATCTCTAGAAGGATGCTGGGGAGCTGAGAAGGGCCACGTGAGCCATGATTGCTAAGTATTATTGTTAATTATTAGGTAAGAATCTCCACATCATATTTATACTAGAATAGTAAGTAAAGAGTTCTTTAATTCCTGCTTTTACATGAGAAGTATAGGTAGTCTGCCCATATTTCCCTAAAGCAGGAAGATTTTGGCCCAGCTACGAGGATCGGACGTCAGGTAATCCAGAGGACTCAGCCCCATACACAGCTAATTTTCTAGAGTGTTCGAGAGCTTGGGCGTTCGTCCCGCAGACACGCACACCCTTCTAGTCCTCTGCTCTCCCCCGCTGCTTGCCTTCCGGTCTTCACGCTTCATTTGTGACTGCACCAGAGGCAGCAGCACAAGGAGAACCAGTTCAGCTAATTCAGGCTTCCTAAGTAGTTTTGTTAAATAACTGAAGGAGTGGTTAAAGGGAGATTTTAAAAAATTATCTGTGAATTAAATTTGTCACGTATGTGTATTGTCTACTGCTCCCCGCAACTGAAAACAGACTGGAAGCCACGCACAGCCAAAGCCCGAAGGAAACTGCAGTGTCAAGAGGGTGGAAGCCCAGTCTCACGTCGCTGGGCAGAAGAGGGTTTGCTTAGGTGTGGCAGCGGGGCCGTCGGCAGAGCACCAGGAGAAGCCTTCAGCGGCAGCACTAAAGAAAAACACGGAAGAAAAGACACTATGGAAACGGGAAACGCATTTAATCCAATCTAATCTTACAGCCGAAAGGAACGGACTCCTTTGGTTTTAATGCACTCCACAGGTTTTAAGTGACCCTGGCCCTATAGTCCATGTTCTAACACTTGGGACTTGTGCTCTGTCTGTTGGGTCAACCAGCTCTTTGGTTGGTACCTGATTTGAAAGGTATGTCTTTCAAATATTTACTTTATTTCCAGAAACATTTTTAGTAGAAGTTAAGTTTCATAAAGGAATTTTTAAACCTCTTATTCCCTGTTATGTCTCCCAGAACCTAAAACAGTGTCCCGCACCGAGAAAGAACTCGATAAATATTTGCTGAATGAATGATGATTCTAACTGAACAGATGAGGAAACTGAGGCATAATGAGATTTAATTGCCCAGGCCACTGTGTAGTTTGTTCTCTCAAAGTTGTGAGTAACAGGAGCCAATTTGTGTCAAATCAAAAGGTGGGGGGTTCAGGAGAGTCTCATGGACTTGAGTTTTCAGGAGCCGACCTGGACACCTCTGGATCTCTCTCTCCCTCCCCCCCCACCGTGCGTGCGTGTGTGTGTGTGTGTGTGTGTGTGTGCGTACGTGTGCGTGCGTGTGTGTGTGCGCGTGTGCGTGTGTGTATGCATGTGTGTGCACGCGCGCGTGTGTGCGCGCATGTGCGTGCGTGCGTGTGCGTGTGTGCGCGTATGCATGTGTGTGTGTGCGTGCGTGTGTGTGCATGCGCATGTGCGTGTGTGTGTGTGTGCAGACCAGCCTCCTCTGCTCCTTCTTCTGGTGGGAAGCACAGCAGCTGACAGCTTTCACGTTAACAGGCTGCAGTTCTAGCCATGCGGAGTGACTCTGAATCGCTCCTAGTTCTGTTCCAAATTCCCAGGAAGGGGCTCCTGGGCCAGGGCTCTCCCCACCATCTCATGACCTTGCAGTGGTTCAGGTCAATGAAGCAGAACAGTTTATGAATTCAGCAAGGTGGGAGGAGCTGTGTATGTTCTCATTAATTTCTCTGCTGATAGTTAGATGCAGAGAATACATAATCCAGCTTGGTGTGAACGGAGACCCCTAAGTATTTAATCTGAAAATCCGTTCACAAAGTATTTAATCTGAAAATTTTCATGTTGTTTTTACTGAATTCTTTATCTGTGAAAATGCATAATTATGGAACAAGTCCTGAGACTTTTCTAAAAGAAGTAAAAACCTGAACTCACTAGGATGAAGAGGAAAGCTGTCCCCCAAATAGCTTCAAGGATGGGAGAAACACCCATTCACTTGTCTGATAGGGTTGAGGGTGTGAAGTTGCTCAGGAGCAGAGGAGGAGACTAGATTCAGGGGCAGCCCCGGCGGTCATTCCATCCTAAAGACATATTAGTTTTTTTTTTTCTTTTTACTTCATTTTATCAATATACAATGTAGTTGATTTTCGTGTGACACATTAATTTTTTTTATACCGAGCTCTATCTGAAGGCCAGTCACTCCTGTTAGTGATATAAGACATCTTCCCTTTCACAATATACCGACTGTATCAG